TGGACCTCTCTTCTCCGTGTGGGGGTTGTTCTCTTTTGGGGCTGTCAGGGGGGGCCATCTTGGGCCGTCGATGGGGCCCTCTGAGGCCTTATGGGTTCCGTCCGGAGGCCCTTTACAGCCAGCTTCGGGCCGTCTTGGGGTCTCCTTGGGCTATCTTGCGACTCTCATGGGGGCCTGTTGAGGCCATCTTGGAGGATTCTTGAGCCATCTTGAGCTTACGGACACCCAAGATGGCGAGAGTGCGAACATCCTCAAGACCAGCAGTGGCAAATCAATGATATTGGCCGCTTCGGGCCAAGTCGGGGGTCCTCTTGTGGCCCTCTTGGAGGCATCCTGGGCCGCCGTGAGGCCGTCTTGGGCCGCCTTGGGGCCATCTTAGGCCGCCGTCGAGGCATCTTGGGCCATCTTGGCGGCCTTGGTTGCCTGTCTGGGCTGTCTCAGAAGATGCGGACGCGGATCAGTCGTTTCGAACGAGGGGTCGCGGCCCAGGGACCCCTGGGAGAGGTTGGCGAGGCATGGAATTAGACGATAGGAGCGGGGGGGTCCTATATCAGAATACGAAGAAACCATCAAGGCAGCCCTTTGCTTTCTTCCGTGCCTCGAAGTGCACAAGGCACGGCAGCGGGCTGAAGCTGTGGCAGCGCGAGCGTGGGCGAGAGCGGGAGGAGGAGCGGCAGCGGAGGCGGCGGCAGAAGGGAGTCAGGAGCCCACAGAGTGGCGGCAGGAGCAGCAGCAGCAGCAGCAGCAGCGGCACGAGCGAAAAAAGGGAGGAGGTCTGTGAGGCTTGCGCAGTCGGCCCGGATTAGTAGGTCGACCTTGCCAGCTCAAGGGTACCCTTGTGTCCTGTGCCTCGCGACACGTGCCTTCTTACACTCCTATGGCGATGTGGCCCTCGGAAGGGTCTTGTGTCCTCTCGCGTGTTCTGTCCAATCAAGGCCGACTGTGAGGTGAATCTGTGCGGCGCTAAGGTGTGAGCCACATCTTGAGAAGGGCCCTCCCCACGTGCGCGACACTGCTGCAACTGTTCGAGTCGAATGTGCGCGGCGCTGAGGCGAAAGAAACATTTTGAAAACGACCCGCCATTCCATCCGCGAAGCTGGAGTAGTTTGCAAGCTTCAGGATCACAGATGGTGATGAGGTCTCAGTCGAAGCGCCACGCCCGCATTGCCGTGAAGTCTGGGGGCGCGACAGGGAGGAGTCATCGATATGGAAAATGGATGCGGAGGAGGAAGAAACGGAGGACCAGGTGGACCATGAGCAGGCACAGGCGCCGGAGCAGGAAGAGGAGGAGAACAGGGAAAAGGAGACAGAACAGATGTAGAAAGCAGGACCGAGCATGAAAAGGCGGAGGAGGGGCAAGACGAGGGGGGGGGAGGGGGGAGGGGGAGGCGGGGATGAGATGGAGCCATCGCTATGTGAGTCGGGATGGGGGGGGAAGCAGGAGGTGATGGGGAATGGGGGGAGGAGGGGCACGGGGGGAAGAGACAGGGGAGGAGCAGGAGGGGGGGAGGAGGGTGGTGAGATGAACACGAGGAGGAGGAGCAGGAGGGAGGGAGGGAGGAGGGAGGGAGGAGGGAGGGAGGAGGGAGGGAGGAGGGAGGAGGGAGGGAGGAGGGGAGAGAGGGGAGGAGCAGGAGGGAGGGAGGAGGGGGGGAGGAGGGGAGGAGGAACCGAGGAGCTGGTGGAGGAGCAGAGGCGGATGGAGCGGGAGCGGCCGGAGGAGACGGAGGGCCCGGGCAGTCGGACCCGGCGGAGCGGGGCCCAGGCACCTGCTACCCGCTGTACGCTTCCCTCCGGGTGCTGGCCACAGGAGCTGCCAGCCCGGCCGGCGGTCGGGGTGCTCACCGTGGCGGCGGCTCCAGACTCCTTCGTCGGCGCGGGAGGAGCTGAGGAGGAGGAGGAGGAGGAGGAGGAGTAGGAGGAGGGGTAGGAGGAGTAGGAGGAGGAGGAGGAGGAGGAGGAGGAGGAGGAGGAGGACCGGGTATCCGAGCTCAGTGGTTTGGGGATCCGAGCCAGTCCAGCATCAGGCGTAGAGCCTCGTCGAAGAACGCCATGAGTGGCCGAGGCAGCTGCAGACAACCCACCCACCGCCCTTAGGACTGGACTCGCTTTGACGTCGCTACCTCCTTACGAGCACTTTGCAGTGACTCGTGGGAAGCACGGGAGCTGCGTGAGCAACGCCCCCGGTGGTGGCGTGCCACGAAAGAGGAGATGACGCGAGCACTACGAGCAGCCAACATACCACATGACATCTCCATTTTCAGCCCCGCATGGGTCAACCACTGTAGGGAGCTTCGCGTATCGCTACCGCCAGCACGCCAGACCATCACTACACTCCGCCTGTCAACACGATTCAATCGGCACGTCGAGTGCGACATCCTGTTGTGCAAAGGTCGCATGATTCTGCACCTGATATGTTGCAACCCGTGGTGACGCAATGGTCAGACGGCTTCGTCCAAGCACGACTCGGCGCTGCTCGCCGCCATCGGCCGTGAATGGATCCAGTAGCTCGGTTCGATGGAGACTTCGATCATGAACGGCGACGACGGGGTGACCGCAACGTACTTCGTGGAGGAGATGAATAGGATAGGAGTACATCTTGACATGCGTGCTCCGCGCCCGCGCGATCATTTCGTCGAGCCGCGTGGAGCCATTCTACGTCAAACACTTCACGCCACGGAGGAGCAGCTGGAGCGCGAAGGCATCGCGGCAACACGTCGACTCCATGCTAGCACATGCCGTTCTTAATGGCAGCAGCCTCAGCCACGTGGGCGGCGTTACGCCATGCAACGTCGTCTTTGGACGGCAGCTGCCCATGCGGGCACCCCTCGAAGCTGACGAACAGGGTGAGGCATCCGGCGACCGCGTCGCTGGTGCCGAGCCTTCTGCTGGCAGGGGAGTGCAGCCCAGCCGATTGCAGAGGCGCATCCGAGGTATAGCCCTGCAGCGCATGATCGAAGCCACATTCATCGCACGAGTCAACCGTGCCTGCAGGACCCGCACCACCGAGGCCTGGGAGGGCCGCTTCAACGTGGGTGGCCAGGCGGAGATCCACAGGCACTCCACGAGGGGACGTGTCGCACTCGGGGGAACTGTCCCCTTGCAGCCAGGCAACGTTTTATGAAGGGGTGGTTCGTAGAGCCTTCCAGTTGTACTGCTCTTTTTGGAAGGCACGACGGACTTGTTTGAGCACCGTGCTCGAACGGTAGGTCCTTGTGCAGTGACCTGTCTCTCACCTTTGCTGGCCCGCTGCGCTGTCTTGGCTCAAGACCTGATCCGTGCACTGCGCCTCTCTTAGACTCGTCTTAGACATCCCGCCTTCGACCAGCATGCTCTGTACTTCCTTTGCGGACAACATCGCAATACTCATTTCTAGTCTCTTCCTCCTCCCACCTCCCCTCGCGTTTTTCACCCTTTTTCCCCGCGCTCGCAATCGTCGTCCCCCTCCGTTCCCATCTCCCTCCCAGGAGCGGATGGCAGTTCCCACCCACCCCCCAGACACCCCCGCCTTGACCCCCCTTGAGTGGGGTAAGATTCGATCTCACCGAACAACGCCCCTCTGCGCCTCCCTCGGAGTTTTCTGGTGCTCGCGAGGCACGCGCGAGTCAAACGGGCGCCCCAGGGGTTGGGGGGGCCGAGGGGATCGGCCCCGCCTTCGACAGAAATGCCCCAAGTGGGGGGAGCAGGATCTCGAGATGAGAAAGGGGGGGGGGCACGCGGGCGTCCAGCCCTGGCGTGGGGGTGACAAAGGGGGGGGGGGGCCTTCTCTGAAGGTTCGGAGGTCCTCCGGCCTTCCGCAGAGTTTTTGCCCTCTCCCGAGGACGCAGGACATTTCCCAGAAGGCTGGACGGATTCGGAACCCGCCGTCTTCTGAGCGGGCCTCCCTTCGCTCGCCGCCGAGTGTGGGGGAGGGGGGATACGGGATGGGGGAGGACACAAACCAGGCGCGTTCGTCGACAGTTCTGACATCCGATCTCGCTGTTATCCTCCCTTTTGCGATGAAATCGCTTCTGCCCGCCAGCTGGGGTGTCCCAGATGATCTTGTTCCCCCAAGAGGGACCTCATCGTGTGGTGCGTAATCATATATGTTTTGTTGCACAGGGCGAAGAGGAAGAGGTTTGCATTGCAATGTTGATTCCTTTCAGGGTAGGCAAAACAGAGTGTATAACCTCAAATCGGTTTTCTCGCATCCTTGATCGCCAGTGCTGGTGAAATTGGAGAAGATGCACCTTCCCGTGCAATAATGCTGGTTCCCGTATTGTACACATTTGGGGCCTGATTCTGGTCGTAGTCAGAAGTACCTCCATGTTTCGAAATCGGATCAACAAGTGACTCCTCGAGGCCAGGGGATTGTGGAGTATGCGGTTTGCCATGCCACTTCTTTCAATGTTGCACTCTCGCTTTGGCGCCGCGTACGTTTTTTCAAAAGCGTCATTCTCGCCTTGGCGCCGCGCACATTCTTGTTTGTTAATTGTGTGAGTGGGGAAGATGCGGGCTCGTGCCTCGCGCGCTGCACGAGACACTCGGGCGCGTCCAGCCTTCGGCCTCATTCTCATCATCTCCTTCCTCTAGCTCCTCGTTACTATTCCCTTTGGGGTGCCAGAGGGTGGTGGCGGTAATCGTGGTGGTGGGCAAGGGGTGGCGGCGGTGCTCGGTGAGAACCAGGAGTGTGTGAAGTATGCGGTATGTTGTGCCCTTTCTTCGCTCTTATTTGCTTTCTTCTTCTCTCTAGTTTCCGTTCGTGTGTGTGTGTGTGTGTGTGGAGTCGTGTGCGTGCGTGTGTGTCTGTGTGTAGGAGGAAGACGAGGCGGGTAGGAAGGTCGTCTTTTTTTCGTAACGTGACCGCTGCCGCGGCGGCGCCGCATATCGGACTAGTCAGCAACCCTACTCCCCGCCGCCCAGCTGTCTAGTCGGACAGATTTTCATTCATACAGACTTTCGCAATGGCGCACATGCTCGCTGTCACTGAAATCTCTAACGCCGAATGATGCTGGGCACGGCTAGCACCCGTAGTGGCCGACCCTCATGCCGCTGGACACGACGGCCGCCATCGGTGGAAGGTAGTCCGCTCGGCGCTCGGCAATGTACTGGTTGAGGAGCTTGCAAAAGTACAAAACCATGAATTGATGCCGCAGAGGCGACATCTCGTTCAGGATGCGCGAGTACCCCTTGAACCAGCTGAAGGTCTGCTCTGCCGCCTGCGTGTTCACGCCCTTCAGCCTGAGCTTCAGCCTGAGGATGTGGTACGGATTGCACGGGCAAGTGTCCGAGTGCCGCTTGGCGTGCATCCAGTCCACGGTCCAATATTTGATTGGCTTGAGCGCGACGATCTTCATGGCAGACTGGTAGAACGAGCAGCATCGGTCATATGCATAGGTGTCGACCTTTGGGTGGTTGACAATGGCCCTCCCGAGCGCCGCGGCAGCGACGCCGTTGCCCTCGGGCACCGCCTGCTCGATGGCGGTGACGACCCGCCCCTGCGGCGTGACGACCATGTACCACCCGTAGTTGCGATGCTGGCCGCGGGGGGGCTTGCGCTTGTATCCCAACGTCGCGGTAGCATTGCCTCTCTGAGTCGCCGCGCTCTTCTTCTTGAGGGCAGGTTTTTTTCATATAGATTTTCCGCACATTCTCCATCGTCGCTTTCATGGCGGGCGGCTTCTTGTCCACGCTCCTCTTCATCGAGCGTCTCTTCATGGCGGCGGGCCTCTTCGTGACGGCGGATGGCCTCCCTGCAACGGGCTCGGGGCACTTCATGGCAACCTTCTCGTGCCCGTCCTCAATGAGCAGGGACACCTTGTTGGGCCTGGGATCTGGGAAGACGCAGTCGTGCAGGTACGCGTCAAACTTCTTGAGCGCGGCGGCGCTAATTTCCTCGCCGAGCACGATGTTCAAATGCTTCCCGACCGGTTCCATCACTTGCACTGCGAGCAGATATAAGATGCCCTCCAAGTGCAGCTTCCTGTAGTCGTGCAAGAACTCCCCGCCGTAGGCGCGCTGGGACTTGTCGGCGAACGTCTCCTGCATCACCCAGTCGGTGCCCGTTGCCGAGGTGCACATCCTGAACATGGCCTTCTCGTGGTACCTCAGGTACCGAAGGGTGAAGGCTCGCTTGGTGCTTACAAACACGACGCCGATCTTCTCGAAATCGTTCAGCGAAGCGGTGTTGACCTTCTGGCCGTCGATCCACGCGAATTTTGCGCCGTAGGTGAGCATGCAGTTCCTGCCCTGGCACCTCCACTGTCGGACGGAGATCTCCTCCGTGCCGTGCAAGTCGCGGAGGATGCAAGTCGCGCCTGGGCGCGAGGCCATGCCCGTGCGTGCGACGAGCTTGCAATTGCAGTGCGCGCAGTTCCACAAGTGGGTTTCAAAAGGGCCATCTAGGTCGATGTCTTGTTGAAGGCCAGGCCATGGCTTGAAGAGGCGGTCTGCGCTGGCCATGCCGCTAGGGGCGCGCCGCCTGCGCAGGGCGTCGGCGACGATGGGCCGCGAGAGGCGATCGAGCCTAGGCGGCTACCGCATAAGAAGTGCTGACGCGTAGGCGCATATGCGACGAGTGACGAAGTGAATGTGCCATGGGCGCATCTTCACAGTCCTCCTCCTCGATCGACAGCGTCGATGGGCGCATCTTCGATCGACAGCGTCGATGTTGCCGACATCGGAGGAACCACGAAAGGCGGAGGAGGAGGACTGTGAAGAGGACACACATTTTTTCGCACAGGCCTTCGAGCCTGGTCGACTCGGTCGCAGAGCAGGCTGCGGTGCTCAGGCGCTCAGGCAGCGCCGCAGCGAGAAATCTCGGCGATCGGTGCTCCCTCAAACAGGGAGATTCCTGGGGAATGGCCGAGAACATTCTCTCCTACCTGTGTTGGGCCACAATGGCTACGGAAAACCGCCAGGGAATCGCCATGCTGTCGACCCGATTATGGCACGGTTCTTCAGGACCCAAAACTCTCTCACAATTCCTTGTGAACCTCCGTCCCTTGTCGCGACTCCCTGGAACCAGCAGTAGTGAAATCCCAGGAGCCCGCGCGACTACCAAACCCGATAGGAACCAGAAAAAAAAACAATCGCTAGCAAAGCCGAGATCGGAGGAACCACCGAAGGCAAGCTAACAGGAACTGGCCTAGGAACCAGGGCCCCAGAAAAGCGAGATCGCAGGGACACGAACGAAACGACTCAAACGAGGCAGAGGCGGAGGAGGAGGACTGTGAAGAGGACAACCATGTTTTCGCACAGGCCTTCGATCCTGGTCGACTCGGTCGAAGAGCAGGCTGCGGTGCTGCGGCGCTCAGTCAGCGCCGCAGCGATATATATATATATATATATATATATATATATATATATGACGCCCGCACTGTTCATCCGCATGCGCGTGGCGCGTAGTGCATGATGGCGCGCGCGCCATTCAGCCTGCGCCCCCTGCGCCGCCGAATCGCCTCGAGGCGAGCGAGCCCTAGTCAAAATTTGAGGGCGAGAGATGACAGGAACTAACATGCACCTCTCAACTTTCCGTAGAGCAAGCGACGGTTATTTCCGCACAACTACGCCGCGCGATGACGCGGCCACGCGTGTCGACCAACTGGGTGGTCTTAGTCGATCGGAGAAGGTAGAGATCCCGAGCGAGGAAGAGGTGGAGGGGATGGGCGTTATTTCGAAGACGCTGATGGTCACAATGTCGGTGGCGCTCATCTGCGCGCATCTGCGACTTCACGCGGCGCTGCCCTTGGCGACATCCTGGGGCCCAGATCCCCGACGTCGTGATTTTTTCACAGCGTCGACCCCCGGAGGTCTGTCGCTCCCGAGGCCCAGTACTCGTGAGAGCCCCCAAAAGCCGAACATAGCGAAAAACTTAACGTTGTGATTTTTTCACGACGCCTGGAGGTCTGGGCGTCTGGACGGCGGCCACATAATGTGGCCTTTTCACGACGGCGGCCGCGAGGGGGAGGTGGAGGAGGATGAGGGCTCTTTCCAAAGCATATGGTCGCAATCTCGCACTGCGCCCCTGGGCGCGCGTCGCTGCACGAGCGATATGCGGGGGGCGAGGTGGGAGGGTGGGATATAGGAGGGTGGGTCGTTTCCTCGAAGTTGCGCATGCGTTAGCCACTTGTCGGCGCACGCCCCCGCGCCGAGCCCTCGCTGCACGGATCGCCCACGGATCGAACCGGATCGAGGGGGGGGGGGGCGAGAAAATGGCAGGCGCAGCGTGGGCGGCCCTCCTGCATTAATGCAGCGGCCAGCTTCACGTGCTAATTCTCCGAGAAGGGAAAGGGGGGGTAATTGTGATAGGAAGCGTGGATGCGGAGGTTGGTGGGGCGAGGGAGGTGCTTCCAATCGAAGCGTGGGCAAGGAGGGAGAGAGGCGGCCTGGGGGCCTGCAGCTCGCTCCGAGCAGTGCCGTGCCAGAGCGGCGGCTGATATTATTCAGCCTGCGCTCGAATTCGTAATGGGATGGTGCGGGTGCGTGCGCGTTGCGCGCGTGCGCGCGCGCGTGCGCGCGCGCGCGATGGAGGGGGGGGGGGGGGGGTCGAGGGAGGGGGGGGGGGCGAGCAACTTGTAGGAATGCGTATCTCCAGCATCATGCTGCTCGATCCGCTTGCAAAATCACCGCTGGGAGGATCGATGTTGGAGGAGATTGTGTGCGCATGCGCGCGTGTGTGCGTGTGTGCGTGAGAGAGAGAGAGAGGAGAGAGAGAGAGAGAGAGGAGGAGAGAGAGAGAGAGAGAGAGAGAGAGAGAGAGAGAGAGAAGAGAGAGGAGAGAGAGAGAGAGAGAGAGAGAGAGAGAGAGAAGAGAGAGATAAGAGAGAGAGAGAGAGAGAGAGAGAGAGCGCGCGCGCGTGTGCGCGCGCGCGCGTGCGTGGAGGGCGGAAGGGAGGGGGGCTAGAAGGAGGGGGACTTACAAGAATGCGTGTCTTAGACATTCGGTCCTCTCCGAAGTCTGCTTGCGCGCGCGTGTGTCTGCATGCGCGCGTGTGTGCGCGCGCGCGCGCCGCGCGCGCGCGCGAGGCGAGATCGCGCCGCATCCGCTCAGGAGGAGGACGAACACCACCGTGAGGATGTTAACCTGCACGTGGGGGAGGACGAAAACCACCGTGAGGATGTTAACCTGCACGTGGGGGAGGACGAACACCACCGTGAGGATGTTAACCTGCACTATCGTGAGGATGTCGTTCACCTGCACGTGAGTAATCACGAACGCCACGCCGAGCTCGAGGGTGAGCATGGCTCCGTGGCGGGGCAACACAAAGACTCGAGGATCGCTCGAGCCCTGGGCTCGTTCGAGTCTCCTTCTTTCGCTCTCCAGGGGGGAGGGGGGGGCGAGCAGAGGGGAGGGGGCGGGGGGGGGGTGGGAGAGCGGGGGGGAAGGCCTCCGTTGATACTAAAATTCCCCACGCACGTGCGCCATTTCCTCCGCATCCAGGCCGGGGAATCGAGGGAGGGCCCGCTGGGTAAACCGGACTCGAGGATCGTTCGGGCCCTGAGCTCGGCCGATCGAGCTGGCGAGTCTGCGCGCCACGCTTCCTCCGCCGATACTCAAACACGCACGCTCACACACACACACACACACACACACGCACGCACGCACGCACTCGCACACGCACGCACGTTTGACATTTCCTCCGCCCCCAGGCCAGGGAAGGGGGGGGCCCGTGCGGGCGGCGGGGGGAACACGGACTCGAGGATCGTTCGAGCCTTGAGCTCGACTGATTGAGTTGGTAAGTCCTGTTCTTCCGCCCTCCACGGAGGAGGAGAGGATGGAGGGGGCAGAGGGGGGATGAGAGAGGCGGAGAGAAGGGTCATCCAGGCCAGGGGGGGGGGGGGGGGGGGGAGGGATGGGCGAGTTGGCTTCCTAGGTGTGCGAAGGAAGGGCTAGGACGAATAGGGGGGGCAGGAGAACGAGGGAAGATGAGGATCCGAGGGCGAAGAACCCTGGCTGCCTCTGACCCCTCTCTAAACTTCACGGGCGAGGCCCGCGCTGCCGCGCGGGGCGCCGTCCGACGTCGACGACGACGATAGTGAGATAGAGAGGGGAAGGCGAGTCCTCCGCCCCCCCTCCCTACTACTCGAACACACACGCGCGCGCGTACACACACGCACACGCGCACGCACATATAAATCCGCCGCTCCTCCGCCACCCCCAGGAGAAAAAAGAGGAGAGAGAGAGAGAGAGAGAGAAAGAGAGAGAGAGAAGAAAAAAAAAAAAAAAAAAAAAAAAAAAAAAAAAAAAAAAAAAAAAAAAAAAAAAAAAAAAAAAAAAAAAAAAAAACTTCGCCTCCTGCGCGAGCTCATGTTTTCTCCAGTCCTGGTGAAAGTGTCACAGCCAGCACCGCCAAGAAAGGAAACCGTAATATCATCACACCATCATCATAAGCATCAGCATCATCATCATCATCATCGGCATCACCATCATCATCATCATCATCATCGTCATCGTCATGTTGATCACCGTCACCGCCACTGAGTAGAGCCACCAGCACCATCACTTCCCAGGGTAACCAGCACCATCACAGAGCACAGTAACCAGCACCAGAGAACCCCAGCACGGGCTCCAGCCAGTTTGCAATACGAGTCCCGCCAGCGGGATTTTTCCTGCACTGGAATCCACTCGAAGCGCCTCGGAAGATGACTAGAGGCATATCCCCCATTGGATACATACCGAAATCCAAGCCGTGTATACAGCAACCACGAACCCCATTGACGCAACATCCAATGTCCAGCCTCATCGTACCCAGAGGTACTCTCGTATAGCAGCGTCAAATCCTGAGTGGTAACTATTGACGTCACCAGTCCTGGGGGAGACCCATCCTCGTGAACTCTGCCGCACGCCCTCAGGAGTTGGGAAGAAGAGCGTCCGTGCGGAGCTAAGCTCACTGCACCAATGGTGCGCGGAGCTAACAATAGAGACACTGGGAGATTGCTGGGCAATGGCCGAAAATAATTTGGGCCAGCTTGCCTTGGCCCACAGTGGCTACGGCAAATCGCTGGGGAATCGTAACGCCTGCGACCCTCTGATGGCAAAGCCCTTGTGGACCCTAGCCTTTGTCACACTCCTTTATGGGCCCGAGTCCCTTGTCTCGACTCCCAGGAAACAGCGATAGTAACATCCACAGGGCCAGCACGACTAGTAAACCCGATGGAAAAAAAGAAGAAGAATAATAACAACAAATAAATAAAACACACACACACACACGGGGAACCAGCAAAGGCGAGATCGGAAGAACCAGCAAAGACGAGATAGCAGGAACCGACCAAGATACCAGGACCCAGCCAGGGCAGTGCAGGGAAGAGCCCGAACGACTCACACCAGAAGGAGGGGCCCGAACGACTCACACCAGGACGAAGGGCCCCAACGACTCACACCACGAGGAGCCCGAACGACTCACACACAAGGAGGCGCCCCAACGACTCACACCAGGACGAGCGACCCGAACGACTCACACCTCAAGAAGCCCGAACGACTCACACGCTAGGAGGCGCCCGAACGATTCACACCAGGACGAGGGGCCCGAACGACTCACACCACGAGGAGCCCGAACGACTCACACACAAGGAGGGGCCCGAACGACGCACACCAGGACGAGGGGCCCGAACGACTCGCACCACGAGGAGCCCGAACAACTCACACACAAGGAAGCGCCCGAAGGACTCACACCAAGAAGAAGAGGGGCCCCAACGACTCACATCACGGGGAGACGGAACGACTCACACATCTGCGACGCACAGAAAACCGACCTCCTGCATTATCTATGTCATTCTTCTCCCTGTGCAGTTCGAACTTGTCCAGTTCTTCCCGACATGCCTCCACGCAGCACAGAGCAACGTCGAAATGAGATTGAAAAAGGCAGAGCCACACTGCTGGCCTTCGTTGTCTCCGACCCCTGTTTGGCAAAATTCTTCTGGACTCTGCCCTCTCTCACACTCCCTTCTGAACCTCCGTCCCTTGTCAGCCCCCCCCCCCCCCCGGAATCAGCAGTAGTGAAATCCCAGGACAGAGCGCGACTACTGAACCCGATAGGAACCAGAACAAAAGCAGGCACCAGCAAAGGCGACCTCGGGGCAACCACCGACGGCAAGCAGACAGGAACTGGCAAAGGAGCCAGGGCCCGAGAAAAGCGAGATCCCAGGGACACGCATCAAACGAATCAAACGAGGCAGAGGCGGAGGGGGAGGACTGCGAAGAGAACACATATGTGTTCGCACGGGCCGCGGTGCTCAGGCGCTCAGGCAGCGGCGCAGCGAGAGATCTCGGCGATCGGTGGTCCCTCGCGCGTGTAGATAGATCCTGGGTCGACGGGCAGCGATATCACCCAGTACTGATTGAGCGCTGTATCACAAGGTAATCCCACCAATGAACCTTCACTGAGAAGAGTCACCAGCACCATCACTTCCCAGGGTAACCAGCACCATCACAGAGTATAATAACCAGCCCCAAAGAACCCAAACACGGGGTCCAGCCAGTTTGCAATACGAGTCCCACCAGCGGGATGTTTTCCTGTACTGGAGCCCACTCGAAGCGCCTCGGAAGATGAGTAGAGGCATATCCACCATTGGATACATACCGAAGCCCACGCCGTATATACAGCAACCACGGACCCCATTGACGCAACATCCAATGTCCAGCCTCACTGTACCCAGAGGTAGTCACGTATAGCAGCGTCACATCCTTAGTGGTACATATTGACATCACCAGTACTGGAGGAGACGCCATACACCATCTGAGCCCACTGCCTGAAAGCCCAAAGAACACAGCATGCACGAATACTAAGAGACAATAACGGCTACCACCTTGCCGCACACGGTAACGCACGATGAATCTAAACGCACGCGCTGCCTAGAGCCACGCCGAAGTAGTTGCACCGAAGCGGCGCATTTCACTGAATAGTAAGCTGCTCGGTTTTCGCAGTGCCCAACATAGCAGGCTGGCCGATGGGGATTATCATCGCATCCTTCAAAAGATAAAGCATGCCCTTTGAATTGCCAATGGCCGCGCGGCCTGTCCCGTAGTAGACCACGACGTCCTGGAAGTTCCGCAGCGCCTGGGACTCCGCATTGTGCTTCATGGCGCAACAAGTGAAGTAGAGGCCACTGTTGTCCACTATATCAAATTTCCGTTTCGCGTTCCCCCCTGGCGACATCTCCAACGACTGCAGATCCATGACTTTACCTCTCACCGACAACCGAAATGGAGGGTTCAATTTGTTGCGGAGAGATCGAAACACGGAAACGCAACAATCCGAAGGTGGAACCGCATAACTCATCTTGATGAGATTCTCCGACGTCGGTCCAGACAGAACCTGCACTGTCGTGCCCATCTCCCCGCCAACAGCTTCGATCGACGTCAACGAACGAATTCGCGTCAGCAACTCCCCCTTCCAATTGTTCTCCCCCGCCCCCCGGATGCGAACCTTAGACAGGTCCACGACGCACGGAGCAACGTCGCCCCGATGGCGACGCTCCTGTACAGCGCGCCAGATGCTGCAGATATCTTCAGCGGCGTCACCCCATAAGCACGCGCTGATGGGCCCCGTCTTGTCCACCATGACCACGTCGGCCGCCTTCCCTTCCGAGGGCGGATCCTTGCGCTTCCGCGGAGAACCCTCCGCGTAATGTACATCGCGAAAACTATTGCCGCATACAATCACAACGCCCTGAAAATGACACCTGCCACCCTCCTCGGAAGACTGGAGAATTGCCAGCGCAGATTTGTGGAACATCTCTTCGGACGCCGACGAAGTCGGACCAAACGCCTGCCCTGAGAGAATCAGATCAATGCCAGACAAACCAGAAGGCGACGCCGCATCTGACAGCTGCGTCGATCCATGGGCCACGGCGCTCTCCTCGGCGTGTCGGGGAGCAGAGTCCTCAGGACGAACCTCAGATATGATTTCCCGCAACAAGGCGTAGTACCGGGGTGCCGCAAATTTTTCTGGGGGCTCCGATGGCAGCATTCTCCTCTGCTTGGCCGTGCGCGATTGCACATACTGGCTGTATTGCTCCGTGACGCCCGTCACGGCGAAGGTGTGATCAGTCGCGGATGCCTTCAGAAGGAATGTTTTACGCCCGTCTGCTTCGTCTGCAGAAACTCCGAACCCCGGGTCCACCATCGGCCGAATCGCCGCGGGCGCGCCCAAGCCAGTCCCCGCGTTCTGGCGCGCGCCCGCATCGCGGGTCTCGCGCACAATGCGAAAGTAGTCCTCCTCCAAAAACTCCCTGAAGCTATCA